GATACATCTAGTGCAGCCCCCTGCTCCAAGCAGGACCAGCCCCAACTACTTCATCCCAGCCAAGGCTTTGTCTGCGCAGGTCTTAAACACCTCCAAGGATGGAGACGCCACTACCTCTCTGGGTAACCTGTCCCAGTGCTTCACCACCCTTCTAGTGAGACAATTCTTCCTAATATCCAACCTTCTGTGCAAGCAGTAAGCAGCAAGGGGCCAGTTGGAGATTATAGGGTCTGTCCTACCCCGTGGAGACAGGGGCTTCCTCATCCCAACCTTAACCTCCCATCAACTCCCACTGACTCTCCCCAAACCCAGTGCATCCTCTGTGGGGGTCTCCCCTGTGAACAGTCTCAAGCCTTCTACACACTGAGCTCTCAAAAGCAGCTGCAAAAGGATGCCCTGGACTGCCCTTGTATCCCAGGCTTGGAGGGTAGCAGTGGCTGCAGGGGGACAGGGCACCCTGGCTAGGGTATGCTCTGCTGGGTCAGCAGAGACGGGCAAGACTGGGCAGGTGCCATGAGTCCTCCCCATCCCAAGAAGAGGCCCAGCAGATTTCCCGTCCATCTTAGGCGGCACAGTCCATTGTCCTGTCCAGCATTAACTGCTCCAGGCAAGTTGAGCTGGGAGTGAAGATGCAGTTTATCATGCAAAGCTTATCCCTCTTTTAGCACTGGCTTGTCAGGGTTTTTAAATCAGGATCATTTCCCTTACTTCCCCAGTAAAGTCCATCAGGGTGAGATCTAGGTCATGTACCCATGATAACCCCTCCTGAGCCTAACTTTATGCCTTCCCCCCAAACTTGCTCATGATAGATTCCCAATCTCCTTTGCTACATTCCCCAAGGGAAGAAGGAAAGAGATTTAGCTTCTTTTACAACCTCAGCAATTATGGTTATTGCTATTATATTGCCCAAAGGCCCCAAGCAGCCCTTGGGAGCCCATCTCCCACGCAGAGACGCTCCAGCCAGCTGCTAGCACCTCTGCAGGAGGGCCAGCACCAGAGCAATGCTGGGCAGAAGAGAGTCAAAATGCAAGGTTCATGTGACAGAACCAAACTTTATTCCTTAAAGGCCACTGACCAACATGCCCTTGCGACCTACTGCAACAGGAGCTAGGCTTGCAATGCTGCTGGCACCCACTGTCAAGCTGAGCACCGGGTGCTCAACACTTTCAGAAACAAATCGCAGGATGTCTCACAAACAAAAGCACCCGAACCTCTTCCCTTCTGCCCCAATTCCCATAGCCCCAGCTTACTGGCAGGTTATAGTTACGTGTCTCCTGGACACATCCCTCTCAAACAGGAGAGGTCAGGTGTCAGAAGCCTGCACAGAAGGCTGGTTAAATAACCCCCAGCTGGGCCTGATTACTTGTGGCTTATTTACCCCCAGCTGTCCCCAGGTGCCTGCATGGATGTGGCTGCCTGCTTTCGGTGCCCAGCAGGCTACTAGATACCTACTTTGGGTAGCCTGGAAGATGCAAGGCTACCCCGCTGCCACTGACTCCTTGTTCCAGGCTGCAGCCTTGACCCCTTCTGCTCCAGATGGCCTTGCCAGCCCCCTGGCCCCTCTGCTCTACACAGCAGCCCAGACCCTGTCCTCTGACGGCCAGCTCTTGGCTTGCAGCTTTGTTTAAGGATCACCCACATCCCAGTCCCTTATAGCTACAGCTGCCTGCTCCATGCCCTGCCTAGTGAGTTCAGTCTGGGTCCCTGCCTCCCGTTCTTGACCTCCATCCGTGCACCCACTCCCAGCTCCTGGGTCTAGCCAAGGTGGTTGCTGATCTCTAAGTCCCTTACAGACCTTTTCCTCTGAACCTGCCTGCTTCCAGTGCCCTGACCCTAGTCTAGACACTTGCTTCCTGTGTCCATTTTGGATCCCCTGGGTTGTGACCCAGGGGAACTGGGCTGATTCAGTCTGCAGAAGAGAAGACTGAGGGGGATTGCATAGCAGCCTTCATCTCCCTGTAGAGGGGCTGCAGAGGATGGAGCTGGGCTGGTCTCAGTGGGGGCAGATGACAAGACCAGGAGCAATGAGCTCAAGTTGCAGCAAGGGAAGTTGAGGTTGGATATTAGGAAAAAATTTCCCACTAGGAGGTTAGTAAAGCACTGAAACACTTTACCCAGAGAGGTGGTGGACTCCATCCTTGGAGGTTTTGAAGACCCGGGTGCACAAAGCCTTGGCTGTGATGATGTAGCTGGGTCTGGTCCTACTTTGAGCAGTGGGTTGGACTAGATGTGACCTCCTGAGCTCCCTTTACCCTCATTTTCTATTAATCTATGACCCTCTAGGGTCAGGGCCCAGCTGCCCATGTCCCGGTTGTGCCCTGGACAGCAAGTGGAAAATAACATAGTCCCTCGGTGCAAGTAAAGTTAACCCCAGGGCAGCACACTGTCTGTGGATTAGCTCCTTTAGCACCAGGCTCTGCTGGCGTCTCTTGTGTGCTAACAATTTTGGAGGGCAGGGTGCCCAGAGCCTCCCAGGAGGGTGCACAGCACCCTACAAGATTAAGCATTTAGTGGGTCCGTTCAAAACCACCTTTCAAGGCAGATCATTAGTGTTACTCTTCTTTTAATTAATCAATAGCTTTGTGGTAATGAGGTGCCTGGAAATGAATGCTCTAGTTCCACCATAGTCGCAGTTGAGCTGGCCAGGAGGGGATCAGCTGTCTTGCTGGTCCTTTACATGCTCCTTCTACAGATGTAGCTTCAACTTCCTGTGGATTTTGTTGTGTTTTATGAGCTCTGTCGTGTGCTCGCGCCGCGGTCAGAGTGAAGCAAGCAGCCTGGGTCCCGCTGGCTTAGCAGCTTCTCAGGTGGCACCAGAGAATTTCATTAACAAGCTTTTTACTCCTGCTGCCAGCTCATGAATGTAGCCCCCTCTCTCTAATCCGACCAGACTCCAGCCCCTTCTATGCTGTCCTGCCGTGCCATTTATGCCCTTAGGCCCCTCTACATGTGTGATAGGATTAGCATACACAATCCACACATCCAGCTTCAGATCCTATCCTGCCTTATTGCCAGGACACCGTCTCAGGCTCCCCCTGCACCTGCAAATAGCAAGCTCCAGCAGCCCCTTATTGCACATTTCCCAGCTCTCACTTTACCACTGGATGGACCTTTATATGGCATGATAGTTAATTTGCACATGTAGGAGATCTGAATTAATTGCACAGTTAGCTGGTCAATTGTGTAAGGTGTGTAATGCATAGAGGGGACCTTAGTCCTTTAGGTTTCAATGCTAAGACCTCAGCAGGCAGACTTTCCTGTCACTCATCTGATGCTTAGCCCACCAGGCAGCACTGAAGGACTTTGGTGCCTGATCTCTATGGTCCATTTCCCACATGATAGAAAACGAGGGTGTGAAGGGACCTCAGGGGGTCACATCCAGTCCAACCCCCTGCTCCAAGCAGGACCAGCCCCAACTCCATCATCCCAGCCAAGGCTTTGTCTGTCTGGGTCTTCAAAGGATGGAGACTCCACCGCCTCTGTGGGTAGCTTGTTCAAGTGCTTTACTTAGTGTTATGCACTCAGTGCATGTGTGACTGCATCTCACTGGGCATGTCTATACGTACTTGAACATGCCTTAGTTAATGTGCATTAAATCTAGTACCTCCATTGTGAGGTACTAGGAAAATGCCCATTAGTCTACTGTAATGCGCATTAACTAAAGAGCACGGTTTTTAGGAGCCCTATACATGTGCAAGGAGCTGGCTCTGGTGTGCTGGAAATCCAGCTCATTGGAGCAGACTCAATTAATTAATTAATTGAGTCTGCTGGAGCTCGGAAATGAATGTGCTCCAGCAGACTTTAGCATCACATGTATCGGTGTCCTCGCACTGAAAAATAGTGGTGGGGCACTTTGAACTAAAGCTTGTTCAGTGTGCTTTAGTTCAGAGCACCTCACCACTATTTTTCAGTGCAGGGGATGCTGATACATGTGACACTTGGGTGCTTTTAATTAGCATGGCTCACTAATTAAAGCACCCCCCCACGCTTCCCAGACCATGTGCAAAAATGCCCTTAGTGATGCTTTAATGCAGATGAACCTAGTTTAATGTGCATTAACCAAAGAGCACAGGGTTTTCTAGTGATGCTTTAATGCATATTAAAATAGGCTAATGCGCATTAAAGTGCATGTGTAGATGAGTCCACTGTGCCTTTGGAGATGAAATCCAGCGGCACCCCCGACCCTGCCATGGTGACCCCTACACAGCCCCCTGCCCCCAGATGGAAGCAGGCCCATGGACAGCAGCATGCCCCATGCTGGTTCCCAGTCCGTGCTGGTTCCCAGTCCATGCTTGCAGAGCCCGGCTGGTGTTTTCTGCCTCTAGATGTCACTCTCCACTGCCTTTTCTTCCTCTCGTCCTATTTTTCTTTCTCCAAGATCCTACAATTTTTTTTTTTTTTAATTCCTTTCTGATCTCTTTCCGGCCATGTGTGATTGCAGTTTCCTCTGGGCGTCCATTTCAGCAGCCAGAAATTAAGCAGCAGACGGAGGGAGAGAGAAGAGGGGGGATCGCCCCCCGCTCATCCTGCTCCCCCAGCAGAAGCAGAAGGAGCCACTCTCAGGAATTCGCACCAAGGCTCTCTGTGCAGGATCTGCAGGAGGAAAGGGAAGCCGCCAGCGCCAGGCTGCCTATCTGGAGTACAGAGAGCCCCACATGCCCCTTCTGGGGGTCTCCCCAGCCCTAAACCTGCAAGACAAGCCAGCAGAGATGCCCTGTCCTCCCTGCATACCAGCTCCCACCTCCCACACCTATTTTGGCTCAACAGGGGTCCTCCGGATCTGGGTGGGAAGCTTCTGCACCATCTGAAGTGCTTTCCTCCTCCTCTTGCACAGCTGCCAAGCTTGGCCAAGTCCTGCCAGGGGGGCTTTTTTCCACCCCAGCACCAGCAGCTGCACCTCCCAGGGGTGACAGGACTGTGGCGATGTCAGTCTCCCTGGACCGGCGCTGGATGGGTGGTTTTTCTGTTGCTCTGAATTGAAAAGCAGCCATCAAACCTACCTGTCCGCCTGCCCCTGTCACTGCTGCAGCTGTGTGATAGCAGGGAAGGCTCAGTGTGCTGACTGCTATCCTCTTCCTGAACTGGAGACAAGAGGGAGAGGTTGCAGGGTCCGTCAGTCCCACCCCTTCCTCTCTCCCTTCCCCTTCCAGAGGAGAGTCCTGGCTCTTTGCAGCATCTGCGGTGCATCGGAGAGCAAACCAGCCCCAGGAGCTGCAGCAGAGCAAGCCCTTGCTTCAGGTGGTTCAGGGGAGAGGAGCTGAGAAGAACAAGGTGCATTGGGTCTCCCGGGCTCTTGTCTTTGGCGTGTGACACGGATCCGGCTCTGCAATTCCACCAGGCGATGGCCACGCAGTGAAGATGTCCGTGTCCAGGCTGAACAGCGTCAATGGGTTTCTGGAGGACTCCAGGATGGAGGCTGGGGATATGGGGAGGATCCTCAGGTGCTTGGAGATTGGCACTGTGCTGACCTTGTTCTACCAGAAAAAGTCACAGAGGCCGGAGCGCAGGACATTTCAGGTCAGGCTGGAGACCAGGCAGATCATCTGGAGCCGGACCCCGGAGAAGGTGGAAGGGGACAGTGAGTATATGCGCCGTGCTTTGCAAATCCAGAAAATAACTATCTGTAGGGAAGCGGGGCTTGGCAAGATCCCAGTGAAACCCCAGTCAAATGCAGCAGGACCTAGTGGGTTCAATCCTCCCTTTCCCCTGCCCCGGTATGGCTGTGCAGCTTGGGGCGCACCTCTGTCGACTCCCCCGCCGCACAGAGGTGTTGTGGGGGCTCTGTACATAGCATTAATAAAGCTCCAAGCAGCACTATTTCAGTGCTCTACCTTAGCGGTAATAATGGGGGTGGTTGCGTGGCAATGACCTTGCGTTTCCATCGCACCGGGGATGCGGAGGACATCACCAGCTTCACCGATGGGACCCGCTGGATTTGCAGGGGTCGGTTAGCTAATGGCTAGTCAGCAGCCGGCACTGAGCGAGAGCGTGGGGGCTGCTCCACAGCTCGCTGCAGCCAGCGAGGATGGATGCAGCATTTGCCCAGCTGGGTGAATGCTGGGTCAGGGGAATGGGGTGCCTGGTGTTGGGGTTTGGCCTGGGTTGATGACCCTCCCAGACTGTGAGCGCAGGAGATCTGGGGCAGGCATGAGGGTATGTGATAGCATCCCAAAGAGGATGCCTCCAGCAGCACTAGGCCTCCTAGCACTGGTTTATACTGGGTAGGAACATCACCTACTGAGTCAGCAGCAATCCTACTGCCAGCCTGGGCCTGGGTTTTCCCCTTGGAGGTCCCCAGTCGATCCTCTCTGACTGTCCGTGGTCAGCTTCTCCGGCTGCGGGGTCTCAGCTCCTGCCATTATACCCACGACGTTCCCCATGGTCCCCACGCCGTTATCACGCTCCTCGCAGCCAGTCACCGGCTCAGTCCCTTTCTTTCCCTTGGCAGCTCCTTGCGCTCTCATTTTCCCTTCCTTTCTGATTGCACCAGGCGTCGGGTCCGTTCCGGCAGCAGTCCTGCCAAGGGGAATGGAGTTCACAAGGGCGAATGTGCAGTGTTTTCCTGCATCGCTTCTGTTGTGCCCTTTGCTTGCTGTAACCCACCCTTCCTGCCGTCCAGCTTTCTCCTTGCTGGTCCCTTCCGCCCTCCCTTCCCTTTCGTTCCCGGGCTATTCAGCGTGGGGTGGGGGCATTCGGTCTCATCGCTTGTGCTACTCTGAAAAGCATGCCGATCTGTTTATCCATCTCGGTTGCTCAGGGCCTGATTTGTCAAAGGTTATTTCCCCTTTGTCATGTTCTAAATGGCTGATCCCATCCCCTTCTTTGTAACCACGGGCAGCCGCCTTGATTATACGCAGGAAACCAGCACGTGCCAGGTGGAAATAGTGCAAAACCCACGGTGCGTGGGTAGCTCCACGGTGGGTGCGCTCCCCTTTGAGCGCATCCGTGCCCTGGGAGGTGACTATGCGAATGGCCCTTCTTACTCAGCAGTGCTGCTCCTCCTGCATTATGAAGGGTTGGAGCTGCTTGTTGTAGTGCCTAAACCAAAAGCAGCTTGTAGTCCTTTCCGCCCCATAGAGCCATCTCAGCCCTGGGAGGAGATGGAGTCTGATGCGATTTGTACCTCATCAACACGACACTGAATCCACTGCCATTGCCCAGGCCACCTGTGCATGCATGTTGCTTTCCGAGCCTGCTCCGGATTATAGCGTGGAATTGCACAGGTGTGCAGAGAGAGCGAGTTTATCGAGTCGTTATTACTGGCAGCAATTCACGGACCACAAAGAACCTGGCCGGACTCTCAGATCTAGGGTCGATGCTTACAGTAAAACCTTTTTGGCTTTGCTTGTAAATAAATACAACCTGTTGTGGAGGCATTGAGAGAGGATGAATACAGACGGGTGCCTTTTCAGAGTAGTGCTGTCTGGTAGTGTAACTAGGGTGGGCGAATGGGGCACCAGCTCCAGGCGCGGATTTCGAGGGAGGCTGTAGGATGGCTGGTTGGGGGAAGCCCATGCTGCAGACAGGGTCTAGTAAAACTCGCCATTTCGTGGCATGTATATAAGCAATGCGTAACACGTACAAGCACCATCCAGTGCCTGGTGCACCCTGCCCTTGCCCCTGCCTGGGGTGCCGCAGTTGCTAGCTATGCCCCTGGCGCTGCCTTTCAGCTGCATATTTGCAAAATGATGCAATGCTTTGCAGAGCGACAGCACTTTCCATCACCAGGCACTGCACAAGCCAGGCACAACAGGGGTGTCGTATACATGGCTCGCAAAGCTGCAGTATTTGGCTCCGAGAGGGGCTGGGAGCTCAGGGGGGGCAGTGTGAGTGGGGGTCTGAAACTCAGGGTGCTGAGCCCCATTGAGGACCTGGGTTGGCAACAAGGGGTGAAAAGCAGTTTCATTAACACCCCTAGGTCCTTGACACGACTTGCCCTGCTGCATGAGATGGGTCCAGATCTGGTCTATGAGGACCTCCACAATCTGGATCCAGCCCACAGCCAGCCCCGAAGTCCAGATCCAGCCCAAGGGGCCAAACCAGTCCATAGTTAAGCACTGTGAAGCCGAGTTTGCTATGGTTAAGCCCAGACATGGATATACAGCCAGAATTTAGCCTTCACCTTTCAAAAGTGCCAACCACTATGCGGTTCCCACCTTGATGGAATGGACTCTTGGCTCCGTCGTGGGCGTTTAGTGCTTGATTTCAGTGAGGACAGGATTTGAGCCTGAGAGGTTTATATTCGGTGTTGCAGAGGACCAGAAATCCCACATAAAATTGGTGGGGGCTTCCAGTGCCTGGCCCTTCTAGAAAACAGATCTGGCATGTCTGAGGTTGGGCTCTCAAAATAGAGGCCTGCGTGATTCACCTGGGACGTCTGTGGCAGAGCTGGGGGTAGAAATCAGGAGCTTTTGGGAAGCAGAGTTTTGCTCTGATCATCCAACCACTTTGCCTGTCCAGGAAGCTCAAATGTTGCACTGAATTTCTGAATGCGGGTGAAGAAACAGGTGGGGATTTCAATAGTTTATAAACCCTTGGGAATGACAACTTCCT